CACACACACACACACACACACACACACACACACACACACACACACACACACACACCAGGCTGAAATCCAGGGTCTCACTGTCTTTCTTACTAGCCTAGACATGACTAAACCTGAGTTCCAGACCCAAAATTGGAGGAGACCCAGACCTTATAGGAGTCAATTGCTATGTCTCTGAGTCTCACATTCCTGATTCATACAGGAGTTGGAAAAAGTGACCTCTGAGGTCCCTTCCAGCTTGAACATTCTAGGATTTTATGTAATGACAGAATTTCATTATAGAATTCAAAGATAAACCGCAGTGCCTTCTTTAGTAGAGAAGTCCCCAACCCCACCCCTCGTTATTACTTTCTGGCTCCACACTGTGCCTCAGGTTCTACCGCTGTAGTCATCTGTGGTGTGAAGGTATTTAACTTACAGTTTTAAGGCATTTTGGTTTTTTTCTTAAATCCAGACAGATGTCCCTGCCCCCAAACCTAGCACACTTCAGGGTGAGAAAGTCAGCCCGGGTATGTCAGCCTACCCTGGTGTGAATGATTATACATAAAAGCGGGGTCTTACATGTAGCCCCTGCTGCCTACTTTTCAGAGCTGTCTGGTGTATCATTTCATCTGATGCTCACTGCAGTGGGCTGGGAGGTTTATTAGATGGTTTCCAAGTGACAGCTGGCTGGTAACAGGTCTGGTCTGGTGGAGGGGATGGTGGGGGCCGGCAGAGGGTTGGTACGCTTGTAGGGTCAGGAGTGCTAGCTGGTGGTGGCTGCCTTTTGGGAGAAGTCCCTGAATGAAGAGACTGGAGTAGGCGATGGGAGGGAGAGTTCTCCAGGGGCTGGTTTCCCACAAGCCATCTAGGGATCCTTCTCTTGGGGACATCACTGATAATCCGCTCAGGGACTAGAGCTGGGTGATTCATGAGCATGAAATGGGGCCTCCCCAGGCATCAGAAGATGTCATGTGTTGGCACCAGGCTGCTGGTGCATCTGTCTGTCTGTTGGTTGGTCTTTGACTCCTACCTCAGGGTGAGGGAAATGGATGGTGGGGTTGACTATGTGGTTAAGTTGCCTGACAGACTGTCACTGCTGATGGCTGTTGGTGACATTGACTCAGGTTAACGCCTCCTTCTAGATCTTTCTGGCCCTAACACTGCTTGCTGTGGGGCATGGATGCTCCCTGCCCCTTGCTGGGCCTCTGTCTCCCCGTCATTAAGGAGAAGGTGGAACAGAGGATCCCGAGGTCCCTATCCAGCTCTGACATTTGGAGGTGGCTGTCAGGAAGCAACACAGACCAGTGTTGTTTTTCTTCTTTGGGAAAAGCTGGTCAAGGGGCACAGGGACCTGTGGGGGGTTGTGGGAGTGGAGCGGAAAGATGACAAGACCCCTTGGGACATCTGGAAGGGAGGTGGGACAAGGCTGAGATGGTTGGGAAGAGAACCAGGACTTTAGGGCAGTATAGGCAGGAGTCAGTAGCTGCCACACAAGCAGGAAGGACTCAGGCAGTTCCTTCAGGGAGCAGGGAAGACTGAATCAACACAGGATGTGTTAAGGAGCAGGTCTCCTGGTGGGCCCTTGGGAGGCTGTGTAGAGCATGCCTCAGAGGGGACGCTTCCCCCTGTCCCGCAGGGGAGTGCAGAAGCTGGGTATTTATCTCCCAGCTTCTGCCCATCCTTGGCTGGGTGCTGCCCCTGGGAGCATAAACATTCTGGCACTTGCAGTCTGGTCTGCCAGAGAAAGCCCCAGGAGAGAAGCAGATGCAGGAGGAAACCACGGGTGTGCACAGGGACTATGAAGGCTGCAGAGATATGGACAGGACGTCAATAGCCTTCAAGGCTGCTACCACTGTCTCCATTGTACAGATGAGGAAACAGAGGCTCAGAAAGATTGAATCGTTTCCCAACCTGAGACTGAGTTTCCACTGGGCTGTGTAACTACCTAACGGCTCAGGTCACTGTGGAATGAGGGATACCCGATGTGTAGGCCACAGCCTGCCCGGTCTTCCCAAGCTTCCGCTTCCACGTCTGTAAGATGGGATGTGAAACCGACCCAGTACCAGCCTTGCAGGGCAGCGTGAGGGGGGCGGGGCTAGTGTTTGCAAAACACTTAGTGCTCAGCCGGACCCATCACTGAAGCTCAGTGAGTGGGAGCCGTTATCGCAGGGAGGCGGGGCAGGAGGGGCTTAGCACCTGTTCAAAGACCTTTCTGTCCCCGAATGTTATGTCCATCATCTTGCTTTAGTGCCTTCCAGTCTGATTATCGGGCCCATGTGTTAGCTCTGGCCTTGAGCACGGAAGGATCCAGTTTAAATGTCTATGTCGCCTGGGAGGTGTAATTCATTAATACATCAGCACACACGAGATGATCCAGCAAACTGGCTATAGGTTGAGCCCTGAGAGAATGGGAGACTGGATGGATACGTTTTGATGGCTTGATTTTTTAAAAAATTTTTTGATAGACAGAGAAGTGATAAAAGGAGAGTTTCTAGAAAGGGCTAAGACATTGGGCATATTGGGATTAGGCCCAAGAGTGAGAGCCTGTGGGATCCAGGGCACCAGTTGATCTACCCAGAGCATGTGTGGCAATGGTGGAGGGGGCAGGTAGGGAGCGCTGCACGCCTAAGGCAGGTGCGGCTGAAAAACCTCCAGGGCCCACCCAGCGCCCGACTTTTAATGAAGCTTAATAAACCTTTGCCGAAGGAGCCACCTTCTCCTCCTGTTGTACCTGCAGCCAGGCCGGAGGCAGCCTCTGGGTCTCAGTAACAGCCTGAAGCCCCTAGATTGCCTCCTCCCCTCTGGCCCTCTGTGCTAACACCTCTTCTCTCCCCCTCTTTCAGGAACCTCTTGGACAAAGACATGTTTTCCAAGTCTGACCCACGTAAGTCCTGCTCTGGCAGTAATAACGGTAACAATAACAGCAATCACGAACATTAGGACTAATTACAGCGGTGAACACTTGAGCCCTTACTGAGTGGTAACTATATGCCAGGCAGTTTCGATGTTTCATGGATAGTGTCAGAGAAAGAGAACTGGGGGGCTTGAACTTCCCCAGCCCCCACACTTGTGAAGCCTCAATGCAACAGAGCGGGTTGGGGGGATTAGGGTGTCTGGGGCCAGAGGGTCTCAGCCCCCGGGAAACCAGTACGGTTAAGAGTTCTGATTGGCTGTGGTCTGGTGGGACGAGCACTGATTTTGGAGTCCAGGGTTCTAGCCCTGAGCAATGCTGCCCAAGCGTGTGACCTCAGACAGGTCTTTGGCCTCATCTGAGCTTCAGTTTCCCTATAAGTAAAGTGGGGCTCATGAAAATAATAGGCCTCGTGAGACTGCTTTGGGCTCTAAAGGAACAACATGGGCTTCAGATGCTCTCCCCCACCACACCTCTGCCACCCAGGCCTCCATCATGCTCTCATATCTACCTGTCTCATAGCTCAGACCCTTCCTGTGGCCTAGAAGCACATGGCCCCTGACCCCCCACCCACAGGGTGCCCCTTCCAGACACACATATGTCATAAGCCCCCCTCTCCAAGCCAACCCTGTGAATTGGTGCATCCAGAACCCTTGTGGTCCAGGCTTGGGGACCAGACTCTTATGACCCCAGCCACCTCAGGAAATACCCTCCACACCCTCCCTAGACCCAACAGTGCTATCCAGGCGGGAGTCTCCTGAGGTGTCTGCTCATTGAGAGCCCTCCCCATCTAAGTCCCCACATTCCTTTTGGCATGCGGTGTTAACCCATTTTTTTCTCCTCTCCCCCCAGTGTGTGTCATGTATACTCAAGGCATGGAGAACAAGCAGTGGCGGGAGGTAGGTACAGCCCCTTTCCCCACCCCCCAGAAACACCAGCATCTCCTTGATTGCCTGTCTGCCTGTTGTCTCTACCTCTGGAGAAATCCCACCTGATGTGTTTCTAACTGCACCACCGAAGCCTGTCTGAAGGCTGGCTAGGCACGCAAAGGCTGAAGCTCATCCCTGCAGTTGACACAGCCCTGTCCTCAGGGAGCCCCAGTCTGAGGGGAGACACAGCCCTGTCCTCAGGGAGCCCCAGTCTGAGGGAGACACAGCCCCGTCCTCAGGGAGCCCCAGTCTGAGGGAGACACAGCCCTGTCCCCAGGGAGGCCCTGGTCTGAGGGGAAGGCAGAGGGAGTCCAGACCCATCGTGCCCACCTTGTCTGGTGGTCAGAGGCACTTGTACAGCATCTAGCTCCTTGTCTTGTCCAGAGCAGACTTCCTTCCCATGGTTTCTGACAGAATGAGCATGGCTTCAGTTAGTTAGGTGATTGGCTTCAGTTAGGTGATTGATTGGCTTCTGCTTTGAATCAAGTCCCACCTCCTTAGCCTGGCTTCTAAGCCCCACCCCAATTCAGGATGATCTACTTTTGCAGCCTTGTCTCATTTCCATTGCCCTGACCCCACTCCATGTGCCTGTGTCCCTTGTGATAGGGCATATGACAGGAGGGCTGACTTGAAGGACCCACTTTCAACCATCACAGAGATGTTGGGAGGTGGATGGGTCTCCTAGATACCTTCAGTCTATTCCCCACCCCTCAGCCAGAGGGATCCTGTTAAAATCCAAGTCTAATTCTGTCCCTCCTCTGCTCAGAGCCCTCCGGTGGCTCCCATCTTGCAGAACCACGGTCCCTGCGATGGCCCCAGGCCCCACATGACCTGGCTTTCTTTCCTGGCTTGCCCCTCCATCCTCCACTCCAGCCCGCTCTGGCCTTAGGGCTTTTCACTTGCTGTTCCTTCTTCCTGGGATGCTCTTCCCCACATGTCCATGTGGCCCCTCCACACTTCTCTCAGATCTTGATTCAGATGTCACCCTGTGGCATCCTTCCCTGGCCACCAGTCTAACATTTCAACCTCTCCAACACTTCTAATTCCCTTAACCACCTTTTGTTTCTCCCTGTCACTTTTCACTGTCTGCCGTACTCTGGTTTACTTGTTTTTCTTGTTTGTCATGTGTCAGCTCCGTGAGGGCAGAGACTTTCATCTGCTTTACTCACCGCTACATTTTGAGCAGCTAGAACAGCGCCCAGCACACAGTAGGTGCATAATAAGTGGTTGTTAGAGGAGTGAGTGGGTTGGGAAAGGGAGCTGGGCCTGCAGAGGCCGACAATGACGTGGCGGCTGTCATCTCATTCCCACCTCTGCCTCAGTCCTCCCTCGCCGAGCTCCCATGGGAGATTGTTTTCAGGTGCAGAGATGGGGAGCTGGGTCAGGAGGAGGGGGCCTGGTAGTCCCTGGCTCCTGTCCCTCCTTTCTCTTAGAGAAGAGGGTCTGGCCAAGCAAAGACAAGGTTGAGGTGAGAGGTGGAGGAAAGAATGTCGTTTCCTTCCATGGTGTGGTGGTGGATGAGCTTACTGAGCCTCACCACCGAAGTGATTTCCTATGGTCATCACAGCTGCCTGAGGGGCTGGAAATTGAGCTTGCTCCTTCTGGTGATCAGAAGAGGCACAGGCATGGGACAAGAGGGGATCTGACCAGAGCTGAGACCCCTTGGCCTTGGCAGCCTCACCCCATGCCCATCTCCACCCACACCTGAGAGGGAGGCCCATGGGCTTCGGAGAGAGGCCCTGCTTGGGGCCTCCAAGAAGAAAGCCCCAGTGGCTAAGGGGACAGAAGCAGCTGTGCAGGGCAGGACACAGGCTCAGTCCCCATGGAAAGGGGAAGGAAGGGGAATGGTGCACCAAGTGACCAATGCTGAGAGCGCACGGGCAGGGAGGCCCTCCCAGGTGACATGAGGAGAATGGCCAGTAAAGTTTCAGTGACTCAGACTTGCTTATCAACCTTTCCCTGCCTCGTTGGTGGGCTGGGCGGAGCATCACCTGCCTTGCTCGGGCCCCCAAACTCCCAGATTTGGCCGGAACAGGTGGCTAAAGGGAGACATTTTATCCATTAAAACATACGGGAAATATTTCCACAGGGTCTAGGCTAAAGTTTACCTTTTTACCCTCTCTAAGAGTCTAAACCAATTAAAGTGTAAACCAGATTGCTAGGAAACGTTTAGCCTACTTAAGTGAACTAATTACTTTTGAGGCCTTTTGGCCAAGCTTCATAGAAACTGGGAATGTGCTAATGTCTTAGTGATTCATTAAGGAAAATCTGGAAAGGCCTCTTCAGAAGGGCGCTGCTTGGCAAGCTGTTAATTACATTTTGTAATTGAGACTTGTCTTCATTTGGTTCAGGGTCCCCTATTGTCCAAGTTGCATCTTGTTACCACATGCACCCACAGGGTGGAGTGGAGGGAAGGTGGGTGGCCTTGGTGTTGAATACACCTGTGCTTCACTCCTGGCCCCAGCTCTTTCTGGAGGTGGGACCAAGAGTAAGTTGCCTGACTTCTCTGTGCCTCAGTTTCCACATAAGTGACAGGGGGATAACACCCACTTTATAGGCCTGTAGAGAGGGCAAAACAAGGTGATGGAGGTAAAGTACCTAGTCTTTATGGTGCATAGTCAGTGCTCAGTAAATACCAGTCATTGCACAACATCATCCAAAGTGCCTGGGGCCTGGCCGGCCACTCCTCCATGTCAGTCAATATTTGCCACACTAAGCTTTTATGAGGTGCCAGCAACGTACCAGGGACTGAGAAAAGAGGGATGCTGGTTAAAAGAATAGAGCTTCACCAAAAGTGTGAGCCAGAACTAGGGTGTTCGCAGCCTGCAAGGGGAGACGCATGTGCGGGAATAATCCTAACAGGAAATGGTGAGAAGGATGTATAGATGGAATAAAATGAGTTCGGGGGAAGGAAAGTTACAGCAGGAATGCTGCACTCAGCTAAAGCATTTTGACAGGTCGTTTGGAATTTTTAAAATGGAATTTGAACCCAAACACAAGCCATCTGGCTAAGGGGCACATGACATGGAGCAGAGGAGAATGTGGGGCAGAAGGAACTTTAGGATCATCTGGCTCAACTTCTTCATCCTATAGAGAGGGTGGGAGTGGCTCAGGTTTTGGAATCCAGGGGCCAGACCCCTGTGCAGTAGGAGTGACCCTTGGAGGAGCTGAGTTGAGCTGGGTTTCACTGAAGCTGGGAGACTTAGCAAAAGGGCACAGTAGCACAAAGGCACAGAGGGAAGCCGGAATGAACAGGTCAGCCCAGGTCTTGCATGGTTGGGGGATGTAATAAGAGGGTAGGTGGGGCTTAAGGAAACCAGTGAGGGATGGTGAATCCCAGGAGTGGCAATAGTGGGGAGCCATTACTACTCAGGTGAGAGGAGGGGGTGGTTTCTGGACCCTCAAGCGGGCTGTAGGCAGGAGCTGGGGCCCTCAGTGGAACCTCATTCTCTTCCCACCCTCTGATCTGCCGGTGCCTCCCACTGGTGGAACCTCACTAGAAGACCTAGGGCCAGGGGACCACTGATGCAGTCCACTCAGGTCAGCCTCCCGGGCACAGAGCAGTGTGGAGAAAGGCTGAGAGTGGAACCAGAGGGGCAGAAGGAGACCATGCAGTATGGATAGTGAGCGGATAAGTGTGAGCGGCATTCAGGGTGTGAGGCTGGCAAGATACAGGAAGAGTCAACTAAAGGGAGTCCGTGGATGTCAGGGTGAGGACAGATGGAGGCATAGGGTCAGAATGTCAGAGCAGGAGGGTCCCTAGAGAGCAGGGAGGCTGACCCTGTTTACAAGAGGCAATCAGGACCGGTGCCCAGATTCCAGGGGTGAAGGTGGCAGAGCTGAGCCTGGGGCACAGGTTTCAAGCTATTTCTGGAGAAGGGAAGATGCACTTAAACCTCCTGGCGATGGGAGGAGGCCCTATTTCCTTGTCTGATTCTCTGTGTGACCCACAGAGGAAAGTACCAGGAATAGAGACTTTGAAGAAAAATTCAGTTCCATCTCTATGTAACTGTCCCTGGAGTGGAAGACTGCCCTTGGGAGTAAACAGTAGCCAGTTCCCACCACTCCACCAGCTAGTTCATTGTCCCTCGGGAGCAGGCTGCCTCTTTGTCACCAGAATCTTGGCCGAGAAATAATAATCCTGTGGCCAGAGGGAGTCAAGTGCAGGCACAGCAGTTTCTCCAGGCAGGGCCCAGGCCTGGGGTTTGTACAAGGCTGCAGATGAGCCAAGCCTGGGAAGGATGAAAGCTGCTCTCGTGGCCTCTGGCTGCCAGTTTTCAGCTGATTTTAACTGTTTGGGTCATTTTTATGCCTTCTGAGAAAGCTCCATCTTCCCGGCACCTAAATCTGTCACCACATTTTATGAAAATTGACTCAAGATGTAATTTTAGCCCAGAAAATCGAGCACCATTTGCATCAAGGCCTGCCAGGGCCTTCTGCATGTCCTGGGGAAGGAAGGATGGCCAGGTGGGAAGAATCCCAGACACCCTCCTGCTGGGAAGAGGGACATAATAGGGAGCTCCTCTTCGTTCAGCATTTGAAAAGTGGTGGCCCCTGCTCCTCCCTCACCAGGAAACTGTCCTGCCAGAGGGCCCCTTGGAAAGGAGGTGAGAATCATGGAATCTTAGGGTGTCCCGCTGATCACGACGCATGGGGACCCAGCCACTACGCCCACGCATCTGTGCCAGAGAGCTCTCAGTCTATTTTTGAGCAACCTCAGCTTGTTTAACACTTTAACACCAGCTGGGAATGATAATTCATCTCTAAACATGAGGAAGGACCTTCCTCGGGGCAACTTGATCTGTGTTTCTGTGTGACCTTGATTCAATGAGCGTGTGTTGGATATTGTCTTAGACTGTACAGGCTGCTATAACAAAAATATCATAAACTGGATAGCTTGTAAGCAACAGAGATTTATTTCTCATAGTTCTAGACTCTGGGAAGTCCATCAAGGTGCCAGCAGATTCAAT